TTATAATATAATGTAAAAATATTTTAAATAATATTATTTCTATTCATAATAATAATAATAAATACATATGAATACATTTAAATAACTATTATATGCTTATGTTATAAATAATAATTATTATTTTCATTATTATTAATAATAATAATAATAGTAATATGCTCAAACTAAAATCCACAATTATAATTAGTATTTTTGTTGTTTAATTATTATAATTCTTGTTCAGTAATTTGTTTAATTATGTTGTTGATGTTGAATGAATTGTATTTATTTATTTATTTTTTATGTATATATGTATTTTTGTTTACTGATTGATTGTAAACACGTCTGCTGGGGTTGGTTTGTGCTCTATGTCAGGGGTGCTGATCGCTGTCGTCACTATATGGTGGAGATGCAGAGCAATGGGAAGTATGTGATTCTCGGGGAGGATCGGGCTCATTCCTCTCTCACAGATCTGGTCCAGTATCACACTCAGGTGGGCATCAAGCCCTTCATGGAGCTGCTGACGCTGCCCTGCGGTCAGGTGAGTGTCCTGCACTCCACTCACAGCTGTGTGTTCAGTGTAGAGAGAGAGTAACGCTGGTTTGTGTGTGTGTGTGCAGATGTGTGATCAGGAGCCGGACTATGAGGAGCTCAAAGCTTTTACATCATCATCATCACCTTCATCGCCGTTGTCGGCATCTGCGGTGGAGCGTCCCGCTGAGGATCAGGACATGGACACGGGTTCACATAAAGTGCACTTAGAGATGCAGAGACTCTTCCTGCTGCCGGGAGGAAACTCAAACCCAGAGTCCCACAAACCGCCGGTGCTCAAGCGCATCTCTGACCGCCGCAGACGGGTCGAAGCCACTCAGATGGAGCACAAGGACGACGATCCGACCGGAGAGAGCAGACCGTTCCCCCGACTCTACCCCTCCATACGACTGGCCATGAGAGAAATCCAACAGATCCAACAGGTACAAACACACATGCACAGGAGATACAGAGGAGATATGTGACCCTGGAGCACAAAAGCAGTCTTAAAGGGGTCATATGATGCGATTTCAAGTTTTCCTTTCTCTTTGGAGTGTTACAAGCTCTTGGTGCATAAAGAAGATCTGTAAAGTTGCAAAGACTAAAGTCTCAAATCCAAAGAGATATTCTTTATTAAAGTTAAGACTCTGCCATGCCCCCCTAAAACGGCTCGTTGGCCAATCAGAGCAGACTGTGCTTGTCAAAGGAGGGGGCTTTGCAGAAAACGAAGCGTTTGAGAGAGGCCGGGCATAGAAGACCTACAATAATGTACAGTATTTGAAAAATAATGTGTTTTTTGAACATTAAAGTCTTTCATAACATAGTTGAGAATCATCTTTATACAAATATTGGTTAAAAAATCCTGAAACCCAAAAAGTTATTGGTGATTGAAAAAAAAAATCCCATTGTTTTTGCCTATACATATAATTTCATGTCATTTTATTTTCCTAGAGTCCTAGTGTAGAATAAAATAAAATAATGTTATAATAAAATATAACTGTTTGTGCAGAATTTTGTGGGGGGCGCTCGAAGGGGGTCTCGCCCAGGGTGTAATTCAGTGTAGAACCGCCACTGGTAGCAATAGTCAAAAATACATTGTAGGGGTCAAAATTATTGATTTTTCTTTTAAGCCAAAAATCATTAGGATATTAAGTAAAGATCATGTTCCATGAAGATG